GCCAAAACAATCTCTGTTACCGTAGATTGTATGTTTATCTCTGTAAAGCTGCTTTGAAACAATCTCCATTGTTAAAAACGCTATATAAATGAAGATGACTTGACTTTATGGCCACCATGTACCCATCCTCTGATGGCTACTTCCAGCAGGATAATGCACCATGTCACAAAGCTCGAATCATTTCAAATTGGTTTCTTGAACATGACAATGAGTTCACTGTACTAAAATGGCCCCCACAGTCACCAGATCTCAACCCAATAGAGCATCTTTGGGATGTGGTGGAACGGGAGCTTCGTGCCCTGGATGTGCTTCCCACAAATCTCCATCAACTGCAAGATGCTATCCTATCAATATGGGCCAACATTTCTAAAGAATGCTTTCAGCACCTTGTTGAATCAATGCCACGTAGAATTAAGGCAGTTCTGAAGGCAAAAGGGGGTCAAACACAGTATTAGTATGGTGTTCCTAATAATCCTTTAGGTGAGTGTATTTTTCACAAGGGTTCTCAAAAAAGTGAGCAGCATTGAAGATTATTCAAAACTTCTGAGCAGAATATGGCTGTAATATTTTTCTTTTCTTTAACAGTTTTAGAAAGCACACTGGATCATGAGTTTTGCTTAATTGCCCTTTCAAATCAAGCAGTGGTAAATATAATCAGATACCAAATATTGCCCCCTGCATCCAGTGGTGGTGCACTCAAATCTCTCTCTTCCTGTCTTCATAGGCCTAATGACTTCAAGATTTAAGCAGCCAGGAAACACCTAAAAGCAGATACCAAGCAGATACAAATCAAATACCAAATATTGCCCCCTGCATCCAGTGGTGGTGCACTCAAATCTCTCTCTTCCTGTATTCATAGGCCTAATGACTTCAAGATTTAAGCAGCCAGGAAACACCTAAAAGCAGCCCCCATCCCCCATCAGAAAATAAGACGTGTGAGAAAAGCAGACGATTAATGAAGATTTTAATGCTGTCGTTTAGAATAAGCCAAGTTCATTGTTCCGCAGTCTCCCGCAATAAAAGCTTAAATGAAGCGTGCTCACTGGGGCTAAGCATTCGTTCAGAGTAATTGGTGGCGTCTTTGAGAGCGCTTTGAAGCAGCTGACCTGAACACTCAGCCCTTGTTAAGAGAGGCCAGCGGAAGGGAAGTGAGCAATGCACCTTCAGTGAGTTTACATCATGACCGTGAAACTGCTTGATTCGGAAACATTTGCATTTTTATTCAAAGAAAAATGCAGATGATGTGGAATTTCTGGATGATAGAAAAGAAGAAAATGTGCCTTATAATCTTGTATGACTTTTATGCCCCAGTGGTTGATTTTTATTAAAACTAACAAGTTTCAACTTTTTTCTTTTGGTTATATGAAGTTCACATAAAGATTTGGAAGGTTTTTACCATGCTTTCATACTTTTTTTTTTTTTTAATGACTTGCATTTTATTGTATAACCCTTGTTCTAGACAAAGACTTTTGATCTTAAATTATGAAAAACCATCATAAATTATAAATAATTATATTCATAAAACTATAATATTGTGAACAGAGTGTTTGTTTTGGTTCTCACTGTTTCCCCTGCCTTGTTTGTTGTCATCCGTCACTCAGTTCAGGTGTGTGTGTGTCTAATAATCCTAGTTTGTGTGTGTCTAATAATCCTAGTTTGCCTGCAGTATTTAAGTTCACTTCTTTCTGTTCATCACTGTCGGGTCTCGCCAATGTTTGGATGTGTGATAAGCTATTCTCTTTATGTGGATTTGCCTGTGTATTTATTAAAGACTGCCTTATTACCTTCATCTTTATGTACGTGTGTGTTCTCGCAACACAATCCGTGAATGACATGAGCATAAACATAAACGTTGTATTATTTTGATTCATAGATAAGTTCTGGATTGGTGTCATTTTCAACACAACCAACAATTTTGCCCTAGATATACTTTTTTTTAGAAGTTAGTGTACTTGGTTACCAGGGGAACAACAGTGTCAACCCTTGTGAAAAAAAAATTGCACTTAATTGTTTGAATGTTCACTTGTAGTGTTCTTCAAATTTTAAAGTATACAATTATAAATGGCCACCTAAGTGTACTTATAGAGAGTACATTTTTAATCAGTTTTTAACACACTACAAATGGACTTAATATATAAAATTAAACGGTTTACTTCAAAGTACATTTTATATCATGTTGTTGTAAACTAAAACTTGTGTCATGATTAAAATAATTACGCCTATTTGATGTGTGGACTAACAAACTAAAGCACATGTAAAGTACTTATACATTTAAATGAACTAAAAGCAATTTAGACTATTTAAACAAATGTGTAATGATTTATCTTTAAAAAAGTATATTTAAATACAGGACAATTAAATAGAAATTACATTGAAGTATATTTTATTGTTTATTAATATTTTAGTATATTTCATAGACAATAGAAGTATGAAATAAAATAAAGGTGTCCTACTTAAAGGGATAGTTCACCCAAAAATGAAAATTCTGTCATCATTTACTCACCCTCATGTTGTTCCAACCGTGTATGAATTCCTTTCGTCTGCTGAACACAAAATAAGATATTTTGAAGAATATAACCAAAAAGGTAACCAAAAAGTTAATAAATAGTAAAAATACAATGGAAGTCAATGGGGCCCATCAACTGTTTGGTTACTGTTTTGGTTACCGGCATTCTTTTTATTTCTAAATAAAAGAACTAAAAGCAATTTAGACTATTTAAACAAATGTGTAATGATTTATCTTTAAAAAAGTATATTTAAATACAGGACAATTAAATAGAAATTACATTGAAGTATATTTTATTGTTTATTAATATTTTAGTATATTTCATAGACAATAGAAGTATGAAATAAAATAAAGGTGTCCTACTTAAAGGGATAGTTCACCCAAAAATGAAAATTCTGTCATCATTTACTCACCCTCATGTTGTTCCAACCGTGTATGAATTCCTTTCGTCTGCTGAACACAAAATAAGATATTTTGAAGAATATAACCAAAAAGGTAACCAAAAAGTTAATAAATAGTAAAAATACAATGGAAGTCAATGGGGCCCATCAACTGTTTGGTTACTGTTTTGGTTACCGGCATTCTTTAAAATATCTTCTTTTGTGTTCAGCAGAAGAAAGAAATTCATACAAGTTTGGAACAACATGAGGGGGAGTAAATGATATAAAAAGCACTCTAAAGTTCAGCTAAGTTCTTTTAATATAAATTTATACTTTAATACATTTTCATTTCATTGAAATTAACATGCAATCAATTACGGTTTTGAAGTGAACATTTTTGCATTTAGTATTTGATATTACCCCGGTCTTGACACTAACACACCTCTCCGAATTATGATTACCAAAGGGAAGAGAGACATAAAAGAGCAAAAGTTAATAAGCGGCACAGGAAAAATGCCAGCAAGTCAAATAATGCATTTTCAATACAGACCTCTAATGTTTCCATAAAATGTGCAGTTTAAAAGGGAAACATCTGAATCATTGGTTTCATTAATATAATGTGCCAAATATTTAGTGTGCACATTTTTAATACAATATATATGTACGCCCACAAAAAAAATGTCAGGGAAAAATCATTTTTATTCATGTGCCACTAGGTGGAAGCACATGCAAACTTTTTCCCTCATCGGTATTGTAGAATGATTTCTTTTGGTTGGCATTTTAAAACCTTGTTGCATTAATTATGTCCCTGTCGATCATGCACTTTAATCACAGTGAAACCATCTGTTAGCATGTTCTCACTACTTCCATTCCAAAGGTATTATTATTATGAATTATATATATATATATATATATATATATATATATATATATATATATATATATATATATATATATATATATATATATATACTGAAGGAACATTTATTCTGGAGTATTAACATTATATGTTCCTGTTATTCTAGTGTGTAATTTCAAGCCATAATATTTGTCTAAATATGCTTTTAAGATCAAGTGGGTTTAACGGAGTTATACAGGGACAAAATATGCTTGTTGCTTGTAAAATCATTAATAATTCAGTGCCGGTTCTTCTTATTTTCCTCTGTTTCAGCAGATGATTGTGTGTTTTTGGGAATGAGTCCAGATCAGCCACTGTGCTCTCCAGGCTTTGGCCCACAGTCGTCCTTAAGGAATTTGGCCACATGCTTTTACAGACATCATTTGCGAGAAAATGGATTTCAGGCACGGCTCAAAAGTGACACTCGGTTGGGCTATTTGCCAAAAGAAGCTCTCGTTTCTTCCCAATCCCCCAACACATGGAAGCCAGAGATCACCCCAATGACACGAAGCCTCTTTTATTTCATTAAAGCATAAAACGGAAGTGGCGATGGTCTTTTCTGCTCTATTAGCCTATCTGAGTGAAACGACTTCTCGAACAATTAGAAAATGTAGCAGGGTCTAGGTTTTGTCCACTGGGAATTTATTGTATGGTGATTGTTTGAGTGACAACATGTGAGTGACAGGTTGCTCCGCCCTCACGACAGTAAACACGTCATTAGAGAAGAGATGTCGCTGCAGGAGGAAAAGGAAGTTATTTTGATTAAATACGATTGCACGTGAATTAAATAAATAAATAATGATGTGCACGGATAAATCATTTATAATAAATACTACATTGTTCCATAAAAAAGAAAAGAAAAAATGATTCCATGGTGACTTAATGTCATCCAAACGCATCCATAAGATGCTTTCTTTCTTTCTTTCTTTCTTTCTTTCTTTCTTTCTTTCTTTCTTTCTTTCTTTCTTTCTTTCTTTCTTTCTTTCTTTCTTTCTTTCTTTCTTTCTTTCTTTCTTTCTTTCTTTCTTTCTAAATGAATTTGACCCTTATTAATCTTCTCCATAATTAAATATGTATAATATTAATATATTTGGATCATTTATTTAGACTAGAGCAAAGCAATATTCACCTATCATGGGAAACGAGGACAGTAAGGGGAGGCGGGAGCGGGCGCCATGACAACGCCCTCAAACCAATAACGTAAAGCGATGAAGGACGTCGTAAATACTGACGGTTCGATGTTGGAAAGAGTCGGTCGCTGTGGATCGTTGTTAGTGCTGGAGATCAGCAGCAGTGTGTGTGGAGACCCCGCTCGATCAAACTCTAGCTCTCAGAAGACCGGGAAAAGAAAAAGAGTCCTGCTTCAGAAGTCTTGTGAAGTCGAGTGATTCATATAAGAGATTGAGAATTAGAGGCTTGACCACTGTTTATGTCTCTCGCTAGGTTGCTAACTGGCTGATCCCCTAATGGAAAGAACATCTGAGTTTGTCTGATGTGAGTATGTGAGCCGCTGAGCGTCTGGATACAATGTTTTTCGTGTGTCTTCTTTTATCGGAGCGTTTCACGCGCTACAGAGTAATAGCAGCGCGAGCGCTCCATCCTGAACAATGATTCAGAGTAACCGATCCAGAGACTCACTCCTGCAGGACTGACTGAAGAAACTCTCTCTCAGGTTTGTTTCCTGCTTTCTTTTTCACTGTCCTGTTGAAAACGTCTATCGTCCAGTCAGCTTGGTCGCTTCTTGGTTGTAGCGAATTGAATTAAAACAAACTCTTGTTTCAGGACGCAATCCTCATTTTCTGTCTTCAAGTAATGGAAACCACTGGAATTTCTTCCTTTGTGATTTAGTATTTCTATAGTGAAGAGTGTCATCTAAATAAAAAAAACATTCTAATGCCAATAATCATTTTATTCACACTGTAAAACAATAATAATTGTTGGTTTAACTTAAAGTGAGTAGCCTAACCTGTTTGCCTTACAATTTTGAGTTCATTGAAATATAACATTTGAGTTAATAAAAAGGAGATTGGTTTAATCAACAGAAGCTCAAAATATGATGTTATCTGAACCACATTTGATAATATCTAAGTTGATTTGACAAAAGAAAAAAAGTTGTGATAAATCACGAAAATAATTTTTTACAGTGCGTTAATCACGAATGACTGAAAAGTCAAAGAAATACATTGGTTAAAAGATTTGGGAGCCCACATAGCAATATCAAATTTCTCTGTGTTTTTTCTTGTTACACAGAATGAAAATGCGTTTCATAAAAATAATAAACGTGTGAGAGGTTTATGTAAGACTTAGTTCAATCTAATTAAAAAGACAAGTTATAACGCAGACAAACTGATATATCATGTCTTGCTCTCATCTTGTATTCTGAAACAGCACAGCTCAGGAGATCATGAAGTAGGTTTCAGATTTCTTGGCACTGATCTGACACTTGAAATAACATGATGGGATTCAGCTGCGGACCTCAGAGCAGTCTGAAAGATCTCTGGATTATAATGTAATTTACTAAGCATTAACACCCATACACTTATCGATTAAGCCAAGACTTTTCAAATGTATGGGTACATGTTGTGTTTATCCTATTAAATGGCCGTATAAAGATTTTAAGTTAAATGTATGAAGGTGCTGTATCAGGTCTTAATTTCTTTAAAGTTTTAAAACTGTTTTTAATTGTCTTTTTAACTTCACTAGTCTGAGAAGTTCTTCTGTCAGGACACAGAGGGTGAGAAAGCCACACCTGTATATGATAAACCACCACTCACAAAATCAAACTGTGGAGACATTTTATTAAGCCTTATTTTTAACGACATGCATCTGGCGTAATCCCCAATAGTATGAGAAACAAGACATCAAGACTTTATAAATGGGAGTCTTCATGCACCCTCTTAATGAAGTAAAGACATCAAATTGGTGGCTGACAGGAAAAAAAGGTCTGGTCGCGTAGTAATTGTGAACACAAGGCACTCATTGTGTCCGATTAAACTGTATAATTTGTTCGATTGTCTCTATACAACACACTCATTTGCCTAAAGGTCTTGCTTACTTCAGGATTAGTGTTGTTTCCCTTGTAGTTGCTTCAGAATATCTAGAACGAAAGCCTTTAGAGAAACTCGAGGTGTAACCACATCATTGAGTTTAAGATTCATATGTCAATTTTGAATGAGAATGTGGTTAATCATTAATTTAGAGTGGTTTTTATTTGTTAGTGTGTGAAAGAAAATTGGTTTCCATTCATCATTGTCTGTGCGGATTGCTGGATTGAGGCGGCTCAGTTGTGGATGACTGTTTTTGTGATCAAACATTATTGACTCCTGCAGTCGATAACCTTGGCAACTGCAGTTCTTCACCCGGACGCCTGCAGCTCAGCATGTGCAAAGCTAATGACAAGGCCATTGTGAAATGCTTAATGTAATGGGAATAAAGTTAACAAAATGCATTCTGTACAGTCTCAAACTTGGACTCAAAGTATTATGGATTAGGGCCTGGCTAAAAAAAAAAAAAGTTTTCATACTGTTCAGCATTTTAGCATCTCCATTTATCTGAATTATTTAAAACAAGTTAATATTTGTTTCTCATTCAGTCAGAGGAACTATCATTTCAGTTAAACAGCCATTGTTGCCATTCATACAGTTGGCATGTAATGATAATTTTCTAAATGCATGTTATTGATCTTACTGTTAACAATTCATCCTTACACCTACAATAATAATATTAATAATGATAATAATTTGTTATCTTAAAGGGATAGTTCACTTTGAAATTAATTTTTGGTATGTTTTAGCTTACCTCAAGGGCATCCAAGATGTAGGTGTCTTTGTGTCCACAGTATTTTCAATTTTGATATTTTTAGGTCAAACCGTTCTTGTCTGTCAGTCATATAATGCAGTCCTATGGGGTCCACCTCAAAGAGCATGCACAGAGAAGTCCAATTAAACATGATTTAATGACTCGTAAATGTAAGTACACATTGATGGCCTAAGACACGAAATGAGCGGTTTGAGTGAGAAAACGAATAGTATTTATATCGTTTTTACCTCTTGTAACCACAGCCACGTCCAAGTGATCTGAGGTCGCCGGCGCTTCGGTCTTTTCCGGAAAGCACCGGAAGTGATCTCCCGCGCGTGTACGTCACTCATACAACTGTTTTATTTTTTATTTTTTTGAAATTGTTTTCTTTTACGACGGTTTAAACATTCCGGATAAGCGCAAATTAGTACCCTTTTTATTAGCCGTCTTACCTACAATCTCTGCTCTGTGTAAACAATGAGTGACATACACGCGCAAGGTTTCACTTCCGGCACTTTCCGGAAAAGACCGAACCGCTCGCAAGCTCAGATCACTTGGCTGTGGCTGTGTTTACAAGAGGTAAAAACAATATAATACTGTTCGTTTTCTCACACAAACCGCTCGTTTCGTGTCTTAGGCCATCAATGTGTACTTACATTTACGAGTCATTAAATTATGTTTAATTTGGACTTCTCTGTGCATGCTCTTTGAGGTGGACCCCATAGGACTGCATTATATGACTGACAGACAAGAACGGTTTGACCTAAAAATATCAAAATTGAAAATACTGTGGACACAAAGACACCTACATCTTGGATGCCCTTGAGGTAAGCTAAAACATACCAAAAATTAATTTCAAAGTGAACTATCCCTTTAATCTTTTGGTGATGCAACATATTTCTCTCTGGTGATGTATGCCATACTTTTCCAATCATTCCAGTCCACTTGCAACTAATGTATCTGTATATTAAATATACTAATTTCACACTAAACAACAATAATAACCTACATATCTTCTTACTAAAACATTTAAATGTGAAAAACTCTGCAAAGTGACTTAAGTCAACTTTGAGTTTTGTGAATCATTGAACTTTTGAAGGATTCACTGAAATGAACTGGTTAATCAATGGACTTAACCAAATCTAGCATTTTTTGCTATTGCAATTTAAATCAGTGACATTTTAAATCGGTTTTACCCGTCTTAAAACATCTGTTTTAACACCAACTTATTGCTTGTCTCGACCAAAAAAAAAGAAAAAAAAAGAAATATTGCGACGCTAGTCTTTAGGAACAACATGACATCATGACTTTGCGTAAACATACACGCCACTTTCAATTCAAGTGGCGTGTTATCTATACGCATTTTGAGCTATCCGCGTGTATGTCCACGCCGAAATCTTTTGCGTGTATGTCTACGCCATTAAATGTCCGAGTGATTCCGCGTGTATGTGTACGCCGTTAAATGTCCGAGCAAAACGAAGCAAAATCTATATCTACATCTGTGGAGCGATATTTCTTTTCCTAGGATGGTAGGAGAAGACTCATAAATGGTATTAACCCCAGTGACGGGTAGGTTTAGGGACGGGGTTGGGGTAGGTCATATATTTATATATACATAATACAGTAATATAACGTTAAGTCAAAGGCGTTGATAAACACGCTGAAAAGCGATTATGCGTGTTGATAGCACGCCAAAAATGGAAATACGAATTGGCGTGTCATACATACGCCATTTCATGAGATCAGTCTGTTAGGAAACTTGGTCAACATGAAATGGCATTCGCTAACAGTTTTGCAAAATCTTATATTTTTCTGAGAATGAAACTCTATAAAAAGTAAGACATGACATGATTTTATCCACTTGGAATTAATTGGAATGTGAAAAAGATGGTGTTCTGTACCAGAATGGGATCCAGGTGATTTGGAGAATAGTGGTTTAAAAAGTAAGAGGCTTTAGTCAGCCAAAAAAGCTTTATAGGGCGGAGCCTCATTATGATTCTAAAGGGAAGCATTCATTTTTTTTGGAATAATATGCACTGATGCTTCATTCACAATATAACCAGGAATGTGATTTTAAAAAGTAGAGTCAATTTTGATTTTACACTGACTTCAAGGGGAAAATAAATATTTTCATTACTAGACTCACTATGTAGGATATCGGAGCTGTTCTTCACACTCTTCGTTCTTCCTCGAATCCAGCTTGTTTATTTGCGTTGACTGTTGTATACTGTCCAACCCTTTTGTTTTGGGACACTCTGAGCTGCTTTTTGGTGTAAAGCGGTGTTCAGTGGCCCTCAGGCCCGGGCTTCCTATACTTTCCTTCCCTGCCTTAGCGGCGGATGAGAGGGAGTAGATACTTGATGGGTAATGGAGTGGTAATTCAAAACAGAGGCCTGTGGGCAGGATGAGGTTTGTTGGAAACAAACATTTCATCAGTGAAGTTAGAGTGAATGTGTCTGTTTGTGAATGGGCTGACTGTTGTTTCCCAAACTGTTGTTGTCTTGTATACCTCCAAACAAAGCCCCATTAGTATGGCTCAAAAACACCTTAATTAACACCAAACCAGCAACGAGAAAATAATTTAGCATTGGCATTAATTGAACAATGAGTTGCATACATTTACCTCTTGTCAGTGTCTTTGAATAGGATATCCGCACAAAGTTATGTAGTTTTTGTCGTGTTGCCAATGTGAATTGACATTTGTAACTCATTTTACTTCAGTAATTTGAAGAAAAACAGGCTAATCCATGAGGGGGGAAAAAATAGGGCTTAGCCGTAGGACATAATTTTATCCACCGACAATTGATTGGATTGTGAAAAATGGAATTTGGAATTGTATATACATGTGGAATAATATTATGCAGCGATTAAGAAAGGACTTACTTTATGGCTTAACTACAAAAAGTAGTAATTGTGATTTAATTTATTTTAAATTAGAATTTTTTTCTGTTTTATGGGTTTAACAAAGCAAGGTAAATCTCCTCTTGGAACTATAGAAGAACCCCCTGGGGAACATATACCCACAGTTTGGGATTATTCTTATGTGTTAGTGTGTTAAAGGCTTTTAGTGACCTAAGTTAATCACTTACCTGAGTGACACAACCCACTTGGAAGGTTTGTAAGACTGTTTGAGAAAAGTGAAATCTAATTCTGCTGTCTTTTTTGGTTTGCGTGAGTCTTGATCTGAATCATACCCCCACAGGCTCATCCTACTGAAGTCTGAAATGAGCACTATAAATGTCAAAGCGAAAGAATCAGCAGGAACCTTTGCAAAATGCGTTTGCTTTCCCCACCATACCTTTCAACATGTCATTCATTTAAAAGAGGCCCCTGCTTCTTGAAATATTATGATTGAGTTTCCATGACACTGGGTGGACATGGACCTGACTGCTGGAGCGAGAACTCCTTAATCTGGTGCGGTGTGAGTCAGGCAGCCCGTGCAGTGAAGCTTGTTTGCTTTCGCTCTGCCAATCTGTACTCAAACCAACGGCAGTGCATCACATAGAGCATGGCTTTCCTTGACTGCCTCATTTTTCCTGAAGAGAAATGCACACAGTTTATCTTTGTCTCTGCTCAGTGAGTGAAAAACCGGGGATGTCATTCTGTTAAATGGCACGCAGAGATCATATCATGTTCAGTTGTTTTATGAACATTCAGTAAATCTAGTCCTCTGTAATAGGCAGTATGCACATTCTTCTTATCAAGATCTGTGTTAGCCTCTTCCTTTCAGTGCATTCCAAATGACTTACTTCCCAGGTGTCCACCCCTTAATTGCTTCTATTTACATAACCAGTCTAAATAAATCTTTCCCTTCAGTTATGTTTTGTCCTCATCATTGTCTGCAGTTATATCCATCCAATGTTCATGCCCATGGAACATTAAAATATACCATGTTACATGTCCAAATCACAAGAGCATTTGCAGCATGGGTGTGATGCAGTAAAGCCTATTGGCTTCAATATGTCCCTCTCAGCACAGGAAATAAAACTGTGCTTTTCAAATAATTTCATGGAATCTTTAAGTGTAATGTTGGATAACACCAAAAAGAAGAAAAACAAAACACATTTTGTTCCATAAAAATTAAGCCTATTTTTAGGACCATTAAAATGTTTCACATTGGCAGTACATGTTTTGCATTGCATTACTTCAACTTTTCTAATGAGATTTGCAAATAAATTAATTACATTTTAAACATCCAGGCAGTGATAATTTGCTGAGAAAATGTTCTTAATTGGCAGATGTCAAAATGCCAACAAAACAATGCAAATTATAATTTGGCTTTGATTTTGAGTTGAAATATGATCAGGGTATGGTTAAGTGAGATTTGCCCTTAAACACTACTGTCTGATAAGGGTGTTTCAGGACTGATATGAGTTATAATTTCTGGTGTAGATCCCCACCCCCCCAGCAACTACGATCTCACTAGGTCAATTAAAATGCACAGAAATTCGTCAACATGCTCGCTAATCACACTGACTCGTCTACTAATGAGCAGAGCTCTCGGAAGCCATCGCTTTTAATAGGCATGGTGTAATGAGCTTTAATTGAAAATTGCCCATTTGCATGGTAAGCGGCCATATAAAGAATTTGGTGCTAAGGGTCTGATTTCCAGCATGGAAACTGCACTTGGGTGGTAATGTAATAGCCTGTTTTAACATAGTATAAAAGTGACTGAGTATTAGCATAGCAGTACTTGCAGGTGTCCGCCTCATTTGTCTGATTTGCATGTCTGTTGATGTGCTTCATCAGTATCAGTGGCACCCCTGCGTAAGACACATTCACATGGTGCTCTATACAGCGCTGTTTCACCTCCCCACATTACCTTGGTGACACAAGGCTTTTTCAAAGAGAAATCTTCAAAGAGAGATTAAAACTTACCAGGGCAACTCTGATCAAAGGTTAAACTATGCTCAGCATGACTCTTCTGGTGATACACAGAGGATGGCATCTTTTTGAAAGTAGAAAGTCTGTCTCACTTGTTTTTTATCACCTGCAAATCAATCACAGAGCATTTGCTTTTATTGTTGACAAGCAGTTTTATAAACTGTTTCTTTAACATACTTTGTTTCAAAGAGGCCATATCTTTTTTTTATTTTTATGTTTGTTCACTTTTTAAAACACTGATTTTCGCCTCCGTGTCTTTTTTTTTTTGCGTTATTTTTATCCATAGTTGTTAGGAGTTATTCTGAGGGAAATATGAGCCAGCACAGTCTGGTACAGAGTGTCTTGCCGTTTATTGGTCTGGCAGGAATCCATCTCGTTACAGTTCGGAAAGCAATGTATTCGCTCAAATGACTTGAACATTTCCAATTTGTTAAACATTTTGAAACAACACACAATCTTGGTTTTGCTTAGAGGTTTATACCATTGGAAAGGAGACATTTCAGGTTTGGAGAAATGGATAGTAGCTGTTCAAATAGTGTAAAGTTGTTCTTGATAGGAAATTGGCCTGTTTTTTGTTCCATGCTGTAGCCTTGGTAAAATGCAACTTAATGTAATATGTTTGATCTTTCTGTGTGCTTTTTTGCAGGCAAGCTTTTTATGTGCATTGGCACAGTGTGCTCCAGAGCAATGGCTATGAGAATGTCTTAGCCCAGCGAACACTTGCAAGGGGGGACTCTGCTTGTTCCTCCCCCTATGGCAACTCCAGGTGATGAGTCAGCACCAGTGATGGGGATCCATTGAGTCCTGTCCCTGACACTATTCATTGCCCTTTCCCCCTTTACCCTTTACCCCTGCCCTGCCTGGCTAGTGCACGAACATGCTGCGCTTCCTCCCTCTCAAGCTTGGTCGTCTGTACCGGTGTCTGAAGCTTCTCTTTGTCGTGGGGCTGTTTGTCATCTTGCTGATGAACACGCACAACCTCTTCGCCTCATTCCAAAAGAACGAACTCACTGACCGAAGGTTCATAAACCTCAACAAGTGCCCAGCCTGCTTTGGCACCAGTTGGTGTCGCAAGTTCATGAATGGACAAATATCTTTCGAGACTTGGGGGCGCCTTCGCTTCCTGGATGTCTTCAATGTGAAAAACGTTTTCTTCGCCCAGTACGGGGAGCCTCGTGAGGGTACGCGGAGGATTGTACTCAAGCGGTTGGGTTCCAACCAAGAACTTACCGATATTGACCAGAAGATTTGCAAGCGGGCAACAGGACGGCCTCGTTGCGATCTCATCCAGGCCATGTACAAGACTGAGTTTGCCCGACTTAATGGAGACGTCAGACTCCTAACTCCAGACGTTGTGGAAGGCTGGTCAGACCTTGTTCATTGTCCGTCCCAAAGACTTCTGGACAGAATAGTCAGGAGGTACGCTGAGACAAAAGACTCTGGAAGCTTCCTTCTCAAGAACCTTAAAGACACAGAACGGATGCAGCTGTTGATGACCTTGGCTTTTAATCCGGAGCCCCTAGTTCTTCAGGTAGGTTTTTTTTCATGTTGTCTACTAACCCATCTCTCTCTGACAGACTCCCTAGGCCTGTAATATATCGTCTGTGTTATAAAAGCCAGATCATAACGTATGCTCTTGAATTGCCCTTGATAATTCTGCCAGCGGAATGGAACCTGTCAGTTTGGTGGGCTGCAAATAGGCTAAAAAAATGCCGCTGTAAATTGTAGGGTGTGCTACTTTCCCTGCCTGTTTCCATTCCTGGCTGCATCTTATTTTGAAAGCCACAATTCTCGAGTTTGAAGTCCTGCCCCTGTAATCTTGAAGGACCTCAATTGGGAAGTGTTTAATTGCAGCCTTATAGTCCAAAGCTGATGGATTTGTCTTGCCTTGATGCATATTTTAAAGAATTTTAATTATTTAAAAACTCCAAACTGTTAATGGTCATTTAAAATTTGTTTCTAAAACTTTGCTTTTCACCATAAGAGCTCAAAGATATCACAAAATCTGCCTTGCAGAGTAGTCTGATTTTCCTATTAGAACAGTTAAAAGGTATTTCACTGTCTATGTACTATTTGGCCTTTATATCAGTGTATTCTCTCTTGATGTACCATGCAACTTCCCATTTTGACATAATGATAATAAGGGCCACTCTCTGACCACTTTTCAATACTGATTTACAATTCGACGATCAATTTTAATTTCAGTTGTCATTGACCACAGGTGGTAAATGCCCAGAACGACAAAATAGCACAAGCCCTGTGAAGACATTCAGTGTCTTGCTGCCCTATAATCTTTCACAAGGTCCTGGCACCCTCTGGCATTTGCTAGACAAAGGGAGAGATCTTCCCAATCTATAAAATCTGATTAGATGTGTGTGTGTGTGTGGTCCCTGTCATTCAGCACCCCCCTCCTCCTTTGTCTATCTGTTTGTTTCTCACTCTCTGTTGCTTTTTCTCCAGCGCCCTCTTTCTGATATCTATATAATTCCATCAAGTTTGTAATGTCATTACATATCAGTTCAAAGCACCCTGGGATTTATAATCCAATCCCCAGGTCCACTTCCAGGACATCTCCTTCCGTCTACCTGTGATTCGGCACATAATTATTTTGTTTGAGCTGTTCCTGCATGTTTTTCAATACTCATAAATAGTTAATTCTATGCTGAACTTGTGAACCGTTGGCATGGGGAATCCTTTCCCCCTGGAAGTACTGTATAACCTGAACTCTCCAAGCACCAAAGGAGCTTCCGGGAGACCCTGAAGGATGGCTTATTGCCTTTAGCTGTTCCTTAAACAAGAAACACCTTAATGTTTCAGGAATAGAAGGAAATGAGTGGTCGTGCACTAGCTCATAAAGAATTGATGGCAACTATGCAGAGTGTATACCAAGCCTTAAAAGATGCTTTTTTTGATTTATAACGCTTTAGTTTCCTTGTTGTTTCAAGTAGAAGCTTCTTTCTTTACAGAGTGATAGCACAGGGATAGGATTAGATCAGAATTAGGATTTTTAATCATTCATTCATATACAAGGTTGCGAAAGCTGCTTTAAAAGCTTGACAAACTTCAGTTTCATAATAGATAAACTACAAGGAAGCTTCTTCTTAAAGGTAGTTCGTTACTTTAGATGCTACTAATAAAAAGCAACTTCACACAAGTTATGGTGACAGCATTAAACAGATAGATATTCACTAAATGCAACAAATACAATTAGAAACCAGTCTCTAGGACTTCAGTTCTTTATACTATATGTTAGAAAAGACAGTTTAAGAGAGCGTTTAATTATTATTGCTCTGTTGTAAAGCTTGTTTAAATGTTATTTATTAACAGAGATGAACTGTTTTATGATACATTGCTACTTTTTAGCAAAAGTTGTTCAGTAATGGAAATCTACTAGCCTGACTTCGTCATACTCATATTCTAGTCAGAATGTGAGTCTGATACTGCTCCATAGGGCTTTGATTATGAGGCGTGTCTTAACCGAACCAGGAAGAAAAAAAACTCTGCACTTAATTGGATAGACCTACAACCAATCAGAGCAACGCAGTAAGTCAACTACTTTGCATAGCACAGTTGTCAACTACAGAACTCAAATGCACGCACGCTGGAAGAAGTAAAATAACGAGTGTTGCTTCTTTTACTTGGTCCTCTATGAGTGCGACCAAAGGAGAAACCACAACGACCACAGGGTTTTCATTGCGTCCCATCTTCTTAGCGACCATCGGAGCCAGCTGATAAATTAAACTTTTGCCGAATCCCGTAGGAAAGACGGCAAACACATCTTTCCGATCGACAAATGCCTTGATTGCAGTTCTCTGTTCGTCTATTAAAATTAATGCGCTGTCGATTTCTTTTACAACAGACGCGATAGCGGAATCTATACATCTCAGTTCTCCAGCTGCAGTCATCTCTGAGGGAAACCAGTTAAGCGCTCTTTGATAACGTGATGATTACGTCCCTGCAGATCATCTGTCCATCATCGTATAAAGCCCGCCCTGGCAATTTGATTGGCCCGAACATTTTTTGACTGATCATAATTACTCCTTAATGGAGCGAGGCCAGACCGAACTTCCCGACCAAAAAATGTTGTGGGCGGGGTTCGGGCTGGCATCCAGGCTAGAAATCTACACTATTTTAAGCAACTGTTCTTTTTTATCTTTTATTTTACTTGCCAGAATATTTTCATGGAATGCAAGAATGCAAATGAAAATAAATTATACATAAATATAACATATAAATGTCAAACACTGTCAAAGTCAAGTAAACTGTCTGTAATAAAATAAGAACAAATTATCAAACTACAAGCAACAGCACAAATACATTTAAATAAATGAAATACATTTTCAGGTACATATAGGATGCGTTTGGTTAAGTTTAGCGTTTCAGTTTACAAATGATTATCTTTATCTTCAGCGCACACCGTTCAAACAGCAATGCACAGCATTTATAACTATGATTGGGACTGTCATATACACTATTGTCCAGAGGTGGAAAGAGTACTGAAAATGTGTACTCGAGTACAAGTACAAGTAAAAGTACTGGTGTTAAAAATGTACTTAAGTAAAAGTACAAAGTACCCCTCTCAAAAACTACTCAAGTACGAATTACTTTTTAGCCTGTGATATTTATTGAATAAACATCAAATCCATTAAATCAAATCAGAAATATGAATGGTTTAAACACAGGCAATTTGTGTTTTATACGAATAAACATGTAGTACAGGAATTTTGTCTGTTTAAAGAATGTTAAATTAATTTTAAACATGTATAAACAGTATAAACTTTTCACTGCAAACCAACAACTGAAAATATAACAGAGGAAGTATATAAAGGAAATTATATATTATTTCATATTATTTCTTCATATAATTTTAATGGGAATCAAGTTATAAAAATGGTCTAATATTATTATTAATGAATTATAATGCAACATAAATGAGCTTGTTGGGTTATTTTATTTATAAACATTTTTTATCTTTTTTAATTTTTTACATTTAAAAAAATCTGACTGGACAAGAAAGCTTTCCAAAAGTACCCTACTAATAATTCAAAAGTTATCAGCATTTAGCACTGACACATGCGCAATCTAGACAGGCTGTCAATCAGTGCAGTTACACTGTTACGCCAGTGGGTCGCGGCAAGAGACTGTTTTTATGAAAGAGTCATTATTATACCGTTTATTATAAGTTTAAAACACAGATTCAATATGAATAAAACAATTTGTTGACAATGACATAAAGCCACTTTACAATGCTAAATATTTTTTTACGCTCTATGTGCTCGTCACCTGGGTAACGCTGAAGCTCATGTTTCAAGTGATGTTTTTAGTCAAATTATCGTGAGGTCTACCCAACATTAAAAACGAAAACAACTATCACATAAATATAGTTATAAGTCTTCGTACCATAATGTGTTTTTTGAGATTAGAGGCTGAAGTCTTGTAAGCCGAAATCACTGCAGATGGCAAACAAAGTTTGCATTGCATTTGTGCGGCCAAGGGCACTCGTCATCCGGTATTTCTTCGGAATTTTCAATGAATTCAGCGTCTCGAATAACGCCAAAGTTCTTTGATAACACTAAAATACACCTTCGCAGTGAAGGACGTGCGAGGACGAATAGCTCTCCAGAAATCGGGCTTTTTTCCCGGTCCAAATACAAGGGTTTTTATTGGCCCGCCCACGATCAGTTATTTCTATTGGATACCGAAATGCTGGTCAAAGATTTGAAAATTAATTTAATTCAAATTGTACAAGTACTTAGTAACGAATGTGATTTTTAAAGTAGCGAAGTACATTACTTAACTTAATTTGTACTTAAGTACAAGGAAAATGACAGACTTAAAAATATACTCATAAAAGTACAAGTACACGAAAAAACTAACTACAGTAATGTGAGTAGTTGTAATTTGTTACTTCCATCTCTGCTATTGTCATACAATTATGTGAATTCTTTGGTTTTAGTTGCCATGTTTAAACATTGAAAAATGTTCAAATTGAACATGTTTTAAATGTTAAAGCTAAAGCGCGTTATTGCAGGAAGAGCGCATCCAAAACAGCAGTTACACATTCTGACTATGTAACTTGGTTCAACTTCACTGTCTTTTTGTGCATACATTAGTTGAAGTGAAGTATATATAAGTTGTGATATTATATTTATGTTGCATAAATCTCTGATAAATCTCAAATAGGATGCGTTTCATTGAGTTAATTAACCTGGTAACAAAGCGCTTCAGTTTGCTGGTGTTCATTCAGCTCTTCACAGCTAGCGCCCACAGCTAAAACAGCAATGCTGTTATTTGAAACTGTAACAATCATTTTAGGTGATTCTTTTTCAAAAACTTTGCATTATTAATAATAACTAGCAGTTTTATTTTTCTTGTATGTTTTATCTACAACATTAAAACAATTATTGTCTGTTCATTGGCTATTCTATTTATAGCACATGCATTTTGATTCTTTATATATAAGTAATGTTGTCCAATAACTTGTTTGCATTACTTTAAGGCAGTAGATTTTTGTTGTTGTTGTTTTTCTTT